CCAGACAGGGCTTGCTTGAAGGTTGATACATAGCACAAACATTGGGAGAGAAGTATGTGGGATACTGGAGGGGAAGGTCGACTCTTCCTTTCTCATGGTAGCTAGCCACTATATGGGCTTAATTAACATATCAAACTGCACCCAAATTTTGACACCAGCTCAGGTTCAGTTCTTAAGATTATGTGAGTTGGCTTGTATGACAAACATGTGGGCTTCCTCTAAGACTCAATAGACTTCTGTAAGATAAGTTAATTTCTTAGGCGGGTTAGTTGTTATGCCAGTGTGATACTTGACGTTTTTGACTTAACATAGTAGTAACATTGGGATGTCTATAGCATTTGCAGTAAGGCATTTGAATCATTCTTGCAACTCTTGATGGTTTTGTAATTTCTTTAGATATTCTAGGCTAAATCCTGACCCAGGAGAGTTGCTAGTTCTTCATTTCATTGACTTCACTTATTTGTAGTATTGTTTTCTTACTCCAAACTACTACATTTTTACTGGCCCAATGCATGTGTTTCTTGATAGCATTGTGTGTTTCCTTATTTCTGCAACAGTTAGCTTGCTTGGTGCTCTCCTTGCAGTCTTGCTCTGAATTTGTAGGGCAAAGAAGATTTGTTGCTAGTTAAAATATACAATAATGTTTGGTGCTCAGTGTAGCTTTACCGAATACACATTTTGCTTTCCTGTTGGAGCTGTGCTGTATAGTTTCATTGCTGTTCACTGGAGTGTAAAGAGAAGGGAGATTTGTGTTTTGGCATGGGTGTTGCTGCTGTTGTTGGGTTTTTTGTTAGTTTGTTTTTAAGCAGAATCTTAATTTCCCCCTTGCATGGTTTCTCTAAGGAAATAGTCAACTTCACACAGAGTCAATGTAATCTCACAAGTTGATACAGTGCTGGAGGAGAGCAACTTCTTGCCTCCAGATTTTAATAGGATCTTCCAAGCTGAAGTAATCATTTGGGGGAGAGGGGAATTTTTGGCCATGAGTCACAGCTGATGTTTGCCTCTAATTTAAGGACAGTTATTTACTGCTTTCTGTGTGTAAACCAATTTGAACCCACACACCCCATTTGTGATTCTATGTGCATTTTTTTTTAAATTTTCTTCTACTTAAATTTGGTTCTAGAAAACCTGCAGATTTGGTTTGTAAGCAAACTGACAAGTGAATGAAGAGTTTTGAACTGTTACAGCCTGATTCTCCAACCATGTCTGTGCACATGTGCTTGTGTTTAGCCCTTTTGTGGGGAAAACTGTACAGAAATAGAAATCCCCTTGTCTGATTTGCTGGTATATAACTGTGATTCTTGCTTTGGGGCTGAAATAACCTGAGTTTCTATCCAGGAACTTAAAACAGCTCTGAAAAGGCCTGCCTGGTAAACTTCCAGGATCTGGATCTTTGGTTTTGATACTAGAGATAGCAGGTTAGGTACAACTGAATCTCTAGGTAGCAGGCATAATAACTTACAGCTAGTTGCAACCCCATAACATTTCTTGAGAGTAGTGTATATCAGATACCATGTCTGGGTGTAAAGGTTGTTTTTTAGCATGTTGTAAAACATGGGAAGCTTTTAGAAGTCCTGAATCAACTCTTGTAAACCTGATATTCTGTCTTGAAGATGCGTGCCTGATAATTACAAGAAACAACTAGTAATAAGCTAAATACATGCATATATTTGTCTTCCAGGTCTCCTGTGCAAGTTTAAAAATCATTATGTAATCAGCTACAGTGTGCCTATAGGGTAGAAATTTGTTTATTTTATTCAAACCCCTCATAAATATTGTTAAGGAAAGAAGAAGTTTTGAATTTCATTCATTCAGAAGTGTATTTAAGATTTCTGCAACGAATTGCATTTTTTTAAAAAAACAGTTGATTTCATAAAATTGAGAACATTGGTTTGTGTATACCATCTTGTGATAAAAGCTTTCACTTGCAGTGCAGTGTGAAAAGGATGGTACCTCCTGTTAGCTTATCTCTAATTAGTGCAGAGGAGGAAGAAAAAGGGGGACCTTTTAGTAATTCAGTAATTTGGAAAAGTAATTACTTGAATAAGCAGTATGGAATGAAATACACCCATTGTCTGTATACCTCAATTTCCTATTAGAGGTCTCCAGATACTGAAATCCTCTGATTTACCTAGAATGGGCTCATTTGTGTGTTGTTTACCTCATCCTCAGCACGAAGGGATCCTGCAGTGAAAGGTGAACTTTAGTGTAATACATGATTTTTTGCAATGACATTGAAATTTTGGCTCTGTAAGGAATATGTATTAAGAGCAATGATAGTAAGGAAGAGTCTGTAATATATTCCACTTAAGAGGTGTATGTTCTCCAAAGTCAGGGTATTGATTCAGCTCATGTTTTATAAAAGTATTACTCTTTTCTTCATGTGGCGTCTGTCTTGCACCGTTCTTTGTAAGAAATGGTGCTTCAGTTTTCCTTTCTAGTGTGCCACATAAGGATTTCCACATATGTGACAAAGCCTTCTTTTTGGATGAATGCAATTCCTCCCTTCTTCCCCCTGCTAAAATGCCAAGCCCCCCCCCCTTTTTTTTTTAAGAACCCCCCCCCCCCCCCCCCCCTTTTTTTTTTTCAAAATGGCAAATGGCTTTGTTACAGAAGGACCCATATATGCTTTTGGTGGATTTGATAAACTTGAATTTCTGGCATCAAAAAATATATACATCACTGTTCATTTTACTATATTTTTCCTTATTTTGTGATCATCAGAGTTTCTTTTCACCTTTTAGAAAACGGGGCAGTACTTGAAGGCTTGACAAATGCATCCCAGGTTGAAAAACTGCTGCATTCCTCCTCCTCTTCCTCCTTTAGAAAATTGACTTCTTTAAAGAGGTAAAGTTGAATATTATACTTTCTGTAGAAAATACTTTTTTTCCAGGCAAAGTGAATTAAATCTCAGCTTCTGTAGTGTGTCCTGTGGTGTTTTAAATTAACTTATAGCCATGTCTCATACTGATGACTGATACCTGTTTCCCTGTTTCTTGAAAAGGATGTCTTTGGAAACCTTTGTTTGCAGAGATTTATTTAGTTGTGTTGTGTTATTTTATGGAATTGTCAGTGCTTCAAGCTGAAGTCACCCAAGTGTTACTTCAATTTAAATTAATCTAATGTTATTTCTGAACCTGATATCTTTTAGGATATTTAAACATGCTTTAGAATCTGAGGAGTTTGTATTCTCTGAATGACTGCTGCCAAGGGCCACGCAAAATGCTTTATGTAGCCCTGTTCATACAAAGTTGTTGACATTGAACTTACAGTTTCCCAACACAATTTTTATATTTTATTCCACTTCATTTTCTGTTTAACAAATACTGACCTGTTCTTAAATACAAATCTTCTTTCAGGAAACAAAACAAGTGTGTTCTGAGACCAGAATAGGTGACTCCAATGATCTAGTCTGGCTCTTTAAAGGTCATTTATCATAGGATTTCCATGATGTAACTTGCATACCAAACCTGTAATTTTTGATTGAGCTGAAATAATTTTCAAAACACATCTGAAAGAAAATTGTAACAAGTAAATAATTCACTTCGTGTTTACCTGCCTTTTCCTTATAAATTTTACAACAAATTCTGCAAATAGTAGCACGTAATATATTCTTGACATTACTTGTATGAAGTTGATAAGCATAAATGTTTATGAAGTTAAAGATTATTGTAGCAGTCTTCGTGTTGTTACCATCTGGCTGTGGAAGTGTTTCTCTTTTACTCCCTATCCCAGGCTAAAAGAACTTCAGAAAAGGTTAGCTGTATTGAAGGAAAAAATATTAATTAAAAAAAAAAACAAAGCTTTGAAGCTGATGGGTATTTGTAGTTTTTAGGAAATATGTGGTACAGAAATATGACAGTGTGTGGCAGCTTTGCATGTAATTGTTATATAGCAATATGAACTTCTTTAAGAGGGGAAAAAAGTGAACAAAGTATCTCTTAAAATACAGTGTCACTTCATGGATTTTTGTTTCTTGCTTCTGTTCAGGCAGCTGTTAACCTGCAGGTCCTGTCAAAAATAAACTTTTGATGAAACCTTAACTAAGAATCGCTGTCTTCATATGTCTAGTATGGCTTCAAACAGCTTATATTTTACTGTCTCCTCAATTTATCCCTTTTTAGGTCACTATTCTTAGGTTTTAGTCTCTAGTATTAGGCTACAGCTTCATTTCACTTCATCAGATTAAAATTTTCTGGGACCTTAATGACTTCCAGGTATTGCCAACCTGTAATGAGATCACACGAAAAGACAACATGACCCTTGTTGCTTAGACCTATTTAAATATCAAGCAAAGATGTCTAATGATGCCTTGTTTTAAACATTCTTGCTATTGCCTTGAGAATTATATTTATGAGAATTCAGAAGATTTTAGAATATTGCTGTGGTATATAAAATGGAAAATAATAACAGTTGTCCTTGCAAATTTTCTTTTTCTGAGAATTCCAACATACTTTTAGAAGAGCTAAATCTTGCTGTTTGAACAAGAAGCCTCAAAATTCTTTAAGAACAAGGTTTAAGGATTAAAGTTCTGCTATTAGGATTTCTAATAACTGATTTTATTAAACTGCTTTACATGGAGCTGTATCTAGAACTGTCATTACAATGTCTCACATAATTTGTTCCATGATGCTTTTTACTTCATTCCACTTGTCTTTTCTTTGTACTATATTTGGTAAGGGAGCAAGAATGGGATGATGTGTTTGTCTTAAATAATGTACATTTTGGCCTGAAGCACTGCATCTTTCTTTTTCCTCCTCCCCCATTAATGTGCAGTATTTTTGACTAAAAAGTGAAGAGAACAGTCTAATCATTGTTAGAAAATGGGACCAGTTGTCCAAAATGCAACTTTTCATATTGTTTGATATTATATAATTCTACTGGAAATATGTTAAAAGCTTTTCATTGGGGTAGGATTTTACAAAACTAAGTTTTGCTGCCAGACCTCTGATTTAATTTCTTTTTCCTTTCTCTTCTAAAGGTAAGAGAGAAGCAAAAGAAGTAAGAAAATGCTGGGATCAGAACGAGGTGTTGTGGAAGAATGGCTGTCAGAATTCAAGGTGAGCTGAGAAGATGAATGATAGCTAGACCATTGGCTTTACTCCACAGAACTTTTGATTTTTTTTTTTTTCTTTTTTCTTTTAATATCCAATAATGTGGTGGGTTGACCCTGTCTGGAGGCCAGGTGCCCACCAGAGCCGCTCTATCACTCCCCCTCCTTCACTAGACAGGGGAGAAAAGGTATATACCTTTCTTAAATATGTTATCACAGAGGTGCTGATTGGCTCAGGCTTGGCCAGCAGCGGGTCTGTCTTGGAGCCGGCTGGCATTGGCTCTATCAGACGCAGGGGCAGCTTCTAGCAGCTTCTCACAGAAGCCCCCCCTGTAGCCCCCCCGCCCCCAAACCTTGCCACACAAACCCAATACAAATAATTAACACTTTAAATATCTATTACTTGATCTTTTGACTACTTATAATGCATAAAGCATGCAAATGTCTATGTAAATGAGTCGGTAAATAATAAACAATGCATAGTTCTAATAGTAGTTTATTTTTATTGTTTATTATTGTAGAGCAGAACACCGCTATAGCAATGTGGTTTTTTTAAAGCGTTTATTTATGTTAATAGAATTTAACTAGTAGCTGGATAACGCTGCCCACATTCCTAATTGAGCAACTTTTTTATTTTTAAAAAATTAGTAGAAATGTTTGAAGCTTAAAAAAAATAAAAATATTTGGCTGCTTTTTTTTTTCCCCTGTGATCTGCATAAAATTGTCATGAAGAATCTGAAGTATTTTTAAGCTATTTTGCATGTTGATAATTATGCCAAATGAAAGATAGGATAATACATAAACAAGAAAACTGGATTTCATGACTGATATGAAATTAATCTGTTATTTAAATTAAGAATTAGTGATTCCTCACATCATTGATGATACACAATAAGTCATTACATTCTGTTGTTGGAAATTTGTTGAGGAGCCAAGGATGCAAAATCCAGAGACATGGTTGCTTGGTGGGACTTGAGGCTGTCCATGGTCATTCTAGATTATCCCTACCTCTTAAATAATATGAGTTGATTTGATAAAGACTTGGAAAAGTGCCTGTTAAATACAGAGTATCAAGAAAGACAGTCCTCATAGCAAGCTGGAACAAATGATTTTATGAAAGATAAATTTGAAACTGCTTTTGGATTTAACCCTGAAAGTTGGTATGTGCTCCCAAATGCTATTCATATGGAGAAGAACTTGTACTGAACGAACTAGATTACAAGTCTGAAAATTTACTGAACTTCAGGAATTTTTCTGGATGCTGGGATGAGACTGAATCCTTTTGTGAATATCTTTAATACTTGGAAGCAGTGATTTACCAGGGTAACACTTTTTTTTTTCCCCTTCTTTTTCATTAGGCATTACCTGAAACACAAATTTCCAGCTATGCAGCTACATTGCACCGAAAAAAAACACTGGTACCAGCTCTTTATAAGGTCATTCAAGACCCAAATAATGAGGTAGGAGACTTTAAAAAAGATTTTTGTTCACATTCTTATATCTTCCACCTCTACAACTAAAACTAGAGTTAATTGAGAAGTAGATATGGAGAGGAACTTTCTTTGATTCTTCTTTCTACTGTAGTCTAACATGGGTATCATCCCTCATTTTACTCTTGTTTTTTGACAGTTACTTTAATGCCTTTCTGGTAAGACAGAACCTCATCTGCTCCCAAAAAATACGGTTTATGCTGTCTGCTAGATTTTACTTGCCACAGCTGACTGTTACACTTGATTTGGCATGAGGTGTTTGTTTTGGGGGGTTTTTTTTGCTCCCCCCCCCCTCCAGGAAACCACCTTTCAGTCATAACAGAGACAAAGGAGGCCTTACAGTGAAACTTGGTGAGACCAATGTGTTTCTCACCTGGTGGCTTATTACAGTAGAAGATGAAATCAATTTATTAAATCCTATTAAAATAACCAGTCTTCTTTTGCTTACAGTAGTATCATGTTTGTGTAATTTGGTTTACACAGCTGTAAACAAGAGCAGAACCAAGGCACCAAAATATAAATATACACAATGAAAACTTAGCATACCCTTGTACATAATTCATTTTGCAAATGACGTTAAACTGTGCTTTCTATTCCATTGGCTTCTGCTATAAGCATTTCTGGGAAAGTGTGTGAAATATAACTTCAGAATAAATTGTGCAAGCATACCATTCTGTACTGTGTAAACTACTTTAGATAAAGTGCTTCAAAATATTTGATTTATCATCTGTGATCACTTGTATTGTTTATAAATCAAATGGCAAGTGTACGCAGCAAGGAAGGTCTTTGTTTTCCAAAGCACAGCTCAGCTGCTTTTGGAAGCTGAATGCTTGATTGAGCTTAAAGGAGATCGCATAATGCTCGTGCAATTAAAAAATAAAAAAGCTTCATAGCTGTCAACTTCATTTCAGTGTTACAAATAACTTTCATAGTGACCTTTTTCTTTGTACCGTTATTCTCTCCAACCTGAAGCCACCATTGCTGTTGTCTTTTAGTATATATGTATTTGTGTGTGTGTATGCTTCTGAAAATGCAAAAGCTCTCTTTTGCTTTGAGAATAAGCATTTGACTTTTTTTTAATGATGCAAAGAACCAGATTTGCATAAAGAGTATCTTCTTAAGGGTGTGACAGTAATCTTATGTTCTTGCACACTGATGCTTGTCAAATATTACTCTTTGGAACTGCTGTTGCTGTTTGGGCCTGATTCTGTTATCAGGTACAAGATAAGCAATGCCAGACTCAAAGATGACTAACTTCAGGTTCTGCTTGTTAAGGCAGTATGTATTCCCTTGTACTTCCAAACTTATTTGCGTGTGAGGAGTATAACCATAGTAAATTCTTTACTTTGCATAATTCTGTGTTAATATTTGGCTTTAAGTGAGGGTTTTTAAAAATATGCTTTATAGGGCATTATTTGTTACAAGGATAACTGATTGCTTTTGAAGATAAAACTTACGTGGTAGACTATTCTAAAAATGCTGGATTCTTAAATTTGATGGGACAAGTAACTTTTTTTTAGTACAACTTTATGATTAAGTTGACCTACTTTTAAAACTTCCTGAAAAGGGTGAACTGTTTAGTGTGAGTGTGAATTTTCTAGAATCACATAATTCTATCTTGATAAGACCAGGATTATTAATTTAACATGGAATTAGCACATTTAGGAACCCACCCAAAGTGATTCTCTTTTTTGACAGCTGTCTACCAATTTGAGAGCTATCAAATGAAGGTAGGCATACTGTCAAGTTAAATACAATTGTTACTGTTTACCTTTTAGGCAATTGCCTGATTTTTTTAATATGGAGAAGATAATCACAGGAACTGAAAGTTACATAAAGAGCAGAGAGTGATCTTGCTCATAAACAGCTTATTTAACTGAATAATGTATTGATTTTTGCATAATATTTGAATTCTAAAGTGCTTTTGAAGTACTGGGGTTTTATATAGTTTTATAATTTTTAGAGTTGGTTTATGACTGTAGACATAAATCCTCTGTGGATTTTAAGTTAATGCAGTACTGAAATTTAAACATTGAATATTCATGTGGGGCTATTGGAAAGCTCAGCTTTGAAACAAAATGAGATTACCTTTGTAATGCTAAGCACTTCCCAGACCTAGTACTCTTCAAATAATAACTAATTTCATCCATTATATTATAGTTAAGCCTAAAATGAGCACATTATTTTCTACCATGATTGAATTCTTCAAAAAAGCAAGCATTTCCAGTCTTTGTCATGCATTTTATAATATGTTATATATAACTTCAAGGTATGGCTCTTAAGATTTGGCAAACTTGTAAAATAAGCCAAACTAAAGCTATTTATCAGCTTCCTTAAAATATGACTAGTCTGCATCTTCATGAGGTGTAAAAATGAAGCCTGCAAATTATATAATTTTCACTTACTGTATATTTAAGCCAGCAAAAATTTTGTTTGGAATTGTTTGTTATGCTAGTTGCTGTTTATGTTAATAGGAAAGCTCTTTTAAGATAAGTTTTTAGTTTGTCAGAAAAAAAAGATACGGTTACAAGAGACTTTTTACTTTGGATTTTTGTGCCTGACTGCTTTGCTACTCTGTTTCCTTTGACTTTGGACTGAAAGATATTTGGCATTAAGAAAGTGTGTGCTAGTTCATGTTTACGCTCACTACTGGTGACAAAAGCTCCTTTTCCTCTGTTTATCCAGTATCTTCTCAATATTTATATTCAGAGAATTAAAGCCAGATAACTAGGATGTTCTTTCTTCAAGTTTTGTGTTTCCAGGTGGGAGACAATCATAGTATACTTCAATAGGAAAAGCTTGGGTGTTCATGCCTTTGAAAATATTTGTGTTGTAGTGTCTTTGTGATGGCAGCTTTTTCTTGTGAACTTGGAAGCTCTGAACACACCAGTTCAGAAGTGCTATAGAAGTTGCTACAAACAACTTTCTGGTTTTCACCCAAGTAATTTGCAGTTGTTAAACCTTTTGTACAACTAATATGACAACTACTAGAAATGAGTATTTACATGCTTGCAGCACCAGTGACTAGATACTGCTTGTATCTTTCTAGGGAGCATGGTTTCACTTAAAAGACCAATTTTATAAAATTTTCATTTGAAAGAAAGCAGAATAAACTCAGTAACTGCTGTCGTTGAGTCGTCTCATCTGACTTTAGCTGAAGTAAATTTTTCTTTTCCACTGTTTTTAATGGGACTTGGATTAGACTAGCTAATTTCAAATAGGAAACAGCTTTGGGCTGCTGTCATCTCTAATCTAATAGAAGCACTATTTATAGCAATGTTGCTGTATATATCTGGTTTCTGGTAATATTCGTTTAGCTTTTCTTGCACCTGTTATCTCCTTGCAGATATGCTTGTATTTAGTGTTTCCAGAGATTTCTTCTTTTTCTTCTTTATGCTAGCTTCTTGCTCATATTGTCTGTTAAAGAAAACCTACACATTTATTCAGTGATCTCTGAATTATTTATTAACCACTTTTTTTATTTGAACATCTGAACTGTGCTAGGCCTTTCATAAAACAAGGATAAATTTTTGTCTCTGAGGATTTGAACTTTTACTGTAACAGATGGTTTTAATAATTAGTGTCACTTTTAGATATAGGTTTCTACTAAGAAAATATTAATTAAGAAAGAATATACTTCTGCATCTTTTGAACATAAAGTGCTATATATGTATGAAATACTAGAATAAATATACTAGATAAAATAATACATGCCTAACTTGATAAAGCCCTAGCATTGTTTCATTAAAATGATTGCAATAGAAGCTTTACAGGCTTCTAATTTCATTTAGATGCCAAAACAAAAATTAAGTGGTGAGGTATTTTACATATATGGCTTGTAAAAATTGTGTGCTCCAAATGACTGGACTACTGTCATTCCATATCAACGATGTCAGTGTCAGCTTTCTTCCCTCCCTCTCTTGCAGAGTCTCTCTTCGCTTCTGTTGTAAAAACAGGCTTTTAGCTTAGAGTAGCAAGGCTGTCAATCAGGAGCCTTGTTACACAAGGTACTTATACCACAGCCTTGTATAAGAAGAGATTTGTCTGATAGCAAAGTTTTATTTTATGTAGATGTCATGTTATGGCTTATGTAATCAGTGGTTTAAAAATGGTATGCTTCATTGACCAGAATGCTGAGTGTTAGAAATGAAACAAATGTGTTAACCCTTTCTTTGGTGATACTCTTTTAAGGCAGGTGTCTTGGTAGAAAATTCTGTCAAATTTATGTTTTGTTTTTGTGATATACTAGAGTAAAATACCTAAGTCTAAATATGTGTATGTGAAGTTGTACAGTCACACAGATTTATGGCATTGCACATTTATCAAACATTCAAATTAATGACTTAATAGAAATGTCCGTCCCTCTGCCGATAGCAAGGGACTTCTTCAAAGTTTTGTGAGAGGATGGATGGTTCACAACAAACCACAGAAGTACGTCTTCATACAGCGTAGCAAAAGAGTGACAGTGAGTTCTACAGGAAATTCTGGGTACTAAGGTTTTGATGAATAGACAAATTAATGAAAGAAGAATGCATCAAAGCCTATGAAACATACTGCTAATGCTCTGAAAGTCCTAAGCTATGTATCCGTGGGAATGAGAGCGTGTACTGACAGAGGAGTCATATATGCCTTATCTGATCTTCTGCACTGTACTGGGTATTGCCTATTTATGCCTTTTTGTCTCACCAGTACAGCTGCTAATGTGTTGGTCAAATGTAGTGGGTTTATTGCTCTAAAAAATTATATGTATAATGTAATGTTTAATATTATCGTGTATCTATATGAAAGCTGCATAAAGCATGTATGATTAGAAGGAAGACTTATTTGAGATTCTGGCCTCTATTCTCTGACTCTGTAACCCTTCTACATGAATATAGATGCTTTAGATTACATGGATATCTTGTCTTCTTGGACATTGAATCCCATGAGTATTTTCCTTAGGTCAGATCATCCCATTTCTTAGAATGTAGTACTAGATACTGGTCACAGACCTTATCAAAATTCCTCTTGTAATTTTTTTTTTGGTAGTTTTTTACTTTGGTGTTAAAAACTTCATTAGTTACAGGAAAGGGGGGAGACAGTTTGACATGGTTTTTTCTTTTTTTTTTTTCTCACTCTCTTTTTTTTCTTTTTCCTCGCTCTTTTTTTTCTTTTCCGCTCTCTTTTTTTCTCCTGTTCATTAACAGTTCTGTGGATGCATCTTAACTATTGGTTTGGCATTGTAGACTCTTAAAATGGCAGGGTTTTTCTCATGCTTATATCACACTGACTTGGTAAGGGCCTTTTCTGATACTTGTACTGAAACCCAAAGGGCAGCTCAAGATGGAAAAATCAGTTTCCATTATAATGAACAAATGCACACTTGTTGGCTTTGAGACTAAAAAGCTGTAGGTAAGAAATTAATTCATATTTCTATCAATAGACTTGTCACCAGCAGCTAATCTTTAACCTTTGTACTTTTATAAACCTTACAACTGCACCATTAAAGTTTTATGGTGCACATAGTTCAAGCCATGTGTCTGTTGCATGCCTTAACTTAGTATCTGTATACAAAGTAAATCTCATATTGACAGCCCTAGAGAATAATGTTCTCAAAGCACAAGATGGTAGTGGCTGTAGTAAGGCCACATTTCCCAATACTACATACCAGTGCCCCTCAGGTCTGTCCTTATAGATCTCCTTAAAAGGAATACTGATACCATTTTGGTTCATTCACTTACTTGCCGTCAAGGAATGTCATTCTTTCTTAGGCTGCAGTGGCTTATGATATAGCTCCTATATTTGCTATTTCATTCTCCCTTATTAGAGAAGCTTAACAGTAATTCATTGGCCTTTTTGCCTTTCCATAGCTCCTGGAGCCTGTTTGCCACCAGCTTTTTGAACTTTATCGTAGTTCTGAAGTTCGGCTCAAGAGATTCACGCTGCAATTTTTGCCAGAGTTGATCTGGGTATATCTGCGTCTGACTGCCAGCAGGGATAGGCAGAGTAATGGTTGCATTGAAGCATTGCTGCTGGGCATTTACAACTTGGTAAGTGAGATGAGTGGGAATGGCTGAGGAAAGCTTTGATCTGAGGTTTTGCATCACTGACCACTAAGAATAAAGTAAATTATTGGAACACTGTATTTAAAATTATATTACGCTTACATGAAAGCATATTTAATCTGGAGAAGAGCCCAATGTAATGAAGATTTAGTAAGAATGTGTTTGCCAAAATATTTTTTACAGTAATCTTTTTGGGACAAACATTTTAACTAAAAAGGATTGTCTCATGGGCTTTCTTGAACTGTTATATACTTGTGTTTGTAAGGAAATTAAGTAGCCCTCCTTAATGTTGAAAAATACAACTTTCTATGGAGATGACTCAGGCCAATATGCTTGGTCTATTTTCGTGTGTCACTTCACCCTGCCCCACCGCTTACTCTGAATATGTCTTTTTAAGGGTAATTTGAAGCAGAAACCACTCTGCATGCTAGCACTTAGATACATGTATGTGTACCTTTGAGGCAGGTAGTTGTCTTGAGTGGACAACTCTGTGATATTAAGAATAAGTCAAAGTAACTGTAGGTGATTAAGTTTGGCTGTTGGATGTAAAAGTAGTGTTTTATATCCTTATCTTAGCCTGGAAATGTTTACTTTTGTAATGTTATGAGGCTGTTTGATAAATTTAGCAATACTGCCGAGACAGGCATTCTCTAATGGAATTTCTGTGTTATAGGACTTTAAAACATATTATACTGAAACATCACCCTTCCCTCTACTATCATAGTAAACTTCTTCTTTAAATTCTGTATTATGTTTCTGCACGTGATGAGACACAGAACAGTCAAACTGTAATCTTAAAAAAAAATAAATTCTTGTTATATGTCTGTAGATCAGCTCTAACAGCTGGAAGATCCAGTTATTTTAGATTTATTTTGAGAGAAAAAACATTGGAAACTGCTTGCTGATTTTTGGTACTGTATGCTGGGTTGAAGTAGCATGTTTATCTTTGTCGACCATTCTCTCATAAAGGTCCTTTTGCAGTTCCTTTGAAAGTCGTGTTGGTGATTCATATTTTTTTAAGGACAGTAATTTCTTCATTCTCTCCAGATTCAGGAAGAAAGAGGCTTTAAAATGGACAGTGGCTCCTGCTATTTTTTTTTCTTTAAGTTGTTGATTTTTTTATGCACATATACTAAGACCGAAGGAGTGAAGCTGTTTTCTCAATACTTAGAAAGTGAAAGACAAGGATAAATTTTTTGCATTCTGCTCAATTCCATCAACTGTCCTCCCACTGTGATTCTTAAAGCCTTCTACAAGTACTGTGCTACCTTGGACTAAGTTTTCACATAAACTGGAATGACTACAGCTTATTCCTTGGAAATTTTCTGTACAAAGTGAAAACACAGGATTTGAGACTCCTTTTTGGTATAGTCTTATGTAATTGCTCTTAGTATATTTGCTTTGAAAACTGCTGGGTTTGCTTATGTAGTAGCCTAGCAACTATAAAATCTGACCAGTTTGAAAGCCTTTTGAGAAAACATTCTGTGTGTTTCTTGCTGATAGAATGCCTGAAGAAGTTTCGCCAGTCCTCTTGATTTCACCTTTTCTCTGTGGTGTATTTATTATGAAGTACTGCCCATTGTCAGCAAGTGACTCATCAGTCCTAATATGTCTATATCATTTGGGCTTAAAGTTTAGCCTTGCTCCACTATGCAGTTCTATTATATATAAATGTTATAATGTAGAGGTGGACTGGAAAAGCTTTTTGTTCTTTTTTTTGTTTTGATGAAGTCACACTGATCAAGGAGCCAGTGCTGGTTTTTTTGAAGTGTTGGAGACTGATTCTGCGAAAGTCTGTGATAGAGATTTTTCCCACTTTTTAAAAATGTATGTAAATTTGCTGATACTCTGGAAACACACAGAGACCTTGGGGTATTAATAGTCTTAACAGATCAGGACATCTAACTTCTTATTTGTTAAATGCCTTCTAAGTGTTGAAAATTATTTCCAGTCCTATCTCCTTACTTCTGCTTGGGTTTTGGTTTTGTTTTTTAATGCAGGAAATTGCTGACAAAGATGGAAACAACAAAGTTTTATCTTTCACCATCCCTTCATTATCTAAACCCTCAATATATCATGAGGTAAGAGAGCTGCTGTGGTATATTAGAATTGGATCTAGTAGAGGAATGAAAACTGGATCCATTTGATGCAGCAGGCCACTTTAGATGCATCTTGTTGCAGTAAGTTTTCAGTGTCAGTAGTTTGCAATTAGTGTAATCAAATTCAGTAGCATTGATAGAAGAAAATGAATGTAAATGTTGAAAAATCTTTGCTGACAGTGCCCATTTTGAACGGAGGTTAGTTGTATTGTAGTTGCAACTGTGTTTTTTTGCCTCTTATGTGTTAGTATAAAAGTAGTCTTCTTTATTCTAACTCTTCCTTAATACAGTTTGAAATTGGAATCGTGTTTTTCTTTCTCTACTGTTGTTGTACAAAAGGTCTATGCAATTAGGACAAACTTACTATAAATGGATATGTAAGAATCAAAGTTGAAAACAGCTCTTGTGCTCTGTTGCTTGGAAGTGTGGAAGCTGTGTATAATAATGAAATTAGGTAATGTTTTTAGATTTACTGTATTTTGTGATCTGTAAAAATGAAGATTAATCCAGGACAAGTGTGTCTTTTGGCTTGGGTGGTTAGGAGTTTTAATGCTTTTGGGGACCTTTTACTTATGACTTGATTTCTCCTCCCCACCTTCCTTCCTCCTCCCACCACCTATTTCTAGCCCTCTACTATTGGATCCATGGCTTTAACTGAAGGAGCTCTATGTCAGCATGATCTCATCAGAGTAGTTTACAGTGATCTGCATCCTCAGAGAGAAACCTTCACAGCACAGAACCGGTAGGTGGATGTAGTCTAACATTGGGGGTACTTCACTAGGCAGACAACAAGTCCTTAAACATTAAGACCAAATATATTATGTGTTCAGTCCTTTCTCAGCATTAAGTGCTTGGAAATAAATCTAGAGAACAGTCTTGGTAACCTTGAGGTATAGTATTTTTGTTGTTTGTTCCAACTTTGTATGTTCTTCTACTAGTTAATGTAGAAGAGAGTAACTTATCTGTCATTTCTGTGTCTGTCAGGAATATCTTTGGGTCTATGTCTGAACTCAAATTTTCCTGGAAGTGTAAAAAAAATTCAGCTTTGGCTCTGAGGCTGTGACTGCGTTTTCCACAGGAAAAAGTGCTGAGGAGTGAGGAGCTGAGTGGATAGACAGAACTAGGAATGAGAGACATTGCCCTGCTGTTCAAGTGACTGCCAGCTTTATCTGTGTCTAAAGCCAGCTCTGGGAAAACTAATAGAATAATTTTGAATGCATTGCAGACTTGTCCAGTTCTATAACTGTCCAAGTATTATGCCATATGTCATTTCCTCCATAGTTCCTGCATATGCTAATGAATTTTAGAAATAATAATTTTAAGTGTTTAATACTGAACCTGTAATAGCCTGTTTCAAGTTAGGGAATTAAAATGAAAGAGGATTTCAGGATTTGCGTGTTGACTTCTGACACTCCTGTGGGGTATTTTTTGAAACTGAGTTGTAGAATTTTTGTGTTAAATTCTGATGAAATATTAAGAATTTAAGCCGTGGAAGGTTTTGCTGTTTTCTCTTTTCAGGTTTGAGGTGTTGAGCTTTCTAATGCTGTGCTACAATTCTGCTATTGTCTATATGCCTGCCTCTTCTTACCAGTCACTTTGTAGGATGGGTTCCAGGTGAGACACTTGCCTTTGAAATAGTCTTGCAGGGTGCATCTAGACTTCTAAGTATTCATCCAGCAAAAAAAAGAGTGAATTTACTTATGTTTAATAACTTAAATATTTAACTCTTGGTCAGTCTTGCAACTTAATTGGAAATTTGAAGCTGTGCTTGCATACAGATAAAACACATGGATTATCTTACTACTGCATGCACTTTCATTCTAGTTATGTAACTTTCTGTTATTTGGGGGAAAAAAAGAGCAATTTGGGGGAAAAATTAGTTGAAGCTACTCAGACCGATTTGCATTTTTTGGATTTACATATCTTTCAGACATTTTTCAGTATGATCAGCTTAAAAATCCTGTAAGGAATGCCACCAGTTTCCTCACTTCCAAATATTAACGCCTTGCTTCTGAGGATGGTTTATATGAAGTGCTTGCACAATGTTCTGGGTTTTAGTGGTTTGTTTGGGTTTTTCTTTGGTTTGGGGGTTTTGTTTTTGTTTTTTTTCCCCCTCTTTATTTCTTTCTCCTCCCCCCTTTTTTTTTTTTTCCCCCCCCCCCCCCCCCCGATAATAACATCCCACTTTCTGGAGAATTCAGCACTGTGATTTCTCAAACTCTTATACATGCCCTTTATATAACCTTCTACTTGAATAGTCTTAGAAGCATCTGGTTGGCAAAGATCCCTGCTTTTTGTTCTAAAAAAATCTCAAGTATATCTGATTTTCCCATATGTCTGTTTTTACCAGCATTCTTGTCAAATGAGATAAATTCTCTCTCCTGCTACCCCCAAACAGAGGAACCTCTTTAAATGTTTTTTGATTTAGCTTGCCATGAAAGAAAAGCATGACATGCAATTCAGTTATGTAGCAGAGAAGGATCACGCTAGCTTCTAAAAACGTATATTCTGTAGTAACACACACATGCAGTTAAGACTATAGCCTGTCTTCTTTCCTGTGATTTCTGATGGGAATGGGTTAATTCTTAGTATGCTTCCATCATCTTCACTTGGGTTGTGGCTGTGCTAAATTTGCCAAATAAGTTGAATTATCCTGCATCTGAAAATTAGATGCATTCTTTGGGTAGAGAAGACAGACAACATTTTATAGGCTAGGGATTTTTTGTTGTTGTTTTTGAAACAGTGCAGCAATTATGTATTACTGGCCATGCGTTGCTTCCTTGATGAAGATTCAGATATCAAAGTTAGTTATGAATAAATTATTATGTTTTTTACAAAGACTCAATGCTATGCAGTATATGGGAAGTAAAGCCCTTTTTCAAGGGTCAGGCGTAGTTTTTTAGAAGGTAGCTGAGAGCAATTTTCAAGAATACAGCATCTGTGTTATCTTTTAGATAAAAGGCAATTGCATGCTGCCGTCATATGTTAGATGGGGGGTGACGTATTTCTCTTCTATACCACTGAAATGTTTCCTTTAAAGAAAGTTGGTTTTGGTTACTGAATTTTGGGTAGAGTCTTCTACTTGGTGGCTGGCAGTAGAGAACATCTAGCTACTCTCATTCTTTAAAAGCTGGTTATGATTTGAAGAAAACATATGGAGTTAATGGCTCTATGGGAATAGCACTGGATTATCAGCAAGCCACATCTCAAGGCTCTGTTATAAAACCACTTTAATGGTTGGGAGAGCAACATAACAATGTTCTATGTTGTGTACTTACATAATAAATTTTGAAAATTAACTAAAATCTCTGTGTTGTAAAGACATTTGTAGTCTCTGTGGGGTTAACATTTTGTTACAATGGTGTATTTTTTTTCAGGCTGTGTGTGAGTGGATTTCCACGGCAGCATGAGAAACGCTGGAAAGAACACTGTGGTAGAGTGGTGCTAGACCCTGACTTCATGGTGCAGCTGCTCACAGGTGTCTATTATGCCATGTAAGTGAATGGGGTTTTTTTGTTTAAAGAGAAATGTCTGGTTTTATGTGAATTAAAATATAAATGCTAGTTGTTTTATGATTGAAAAAAACAGTTAAACTCATAACACAAGTTTATAACTCAATTAGTGTATTTCCCATTACTTGCTTGCTCAGCCAGTTGGTGATTTGGAAATATCTTTGACAGCATTGAATTAGGTGATGAAGGCCCAGCAGTAGGTGCTGAGGAGAGTTAGGTTTCTGGCTTCATCTTTTCCCAAGTTTCCACTGCCACCAGATACCTTCTGTTCACAAGCATAAGCTTGGATGCCAAGATAACCTGATGAAATGCAGACCTCTTGAATATCAGTAGCTTCCGAGGTAGCAAAAATCCATTTCTGATGGAAATTCAGTTATGCTAAGTAGTGTTAACCTTTACATTCTTGACCCTCTTTTTTTTATTCTTGAAGTTTGTCCTGATTATGGCATCAACTTTGTCTTGCTTGGAGGTGACAGGAAACACCTTTTTTGTTATACCAACATGATTAATAAAAAAATGCTTTGCCTATAGGGGCTGGGGTGTACATACAGTTGATGAACTTTCTACATCAGCAAAGTGAAGAGCTGTTTGAGTTCATAAGATATGAAAGATAAATACCTGTCTTTACTTTTTAGATACAATGGTCAGTGGGATCTTGGCCAGGAGGTGTTGGAGGACATAATTTACAGAGCACAGCTTGAACTCTACTCACAGCCTCTGCTGGTAAGAAACAATCCATTGCAGTTTATGGGCTTGGTTAAGAGGAGTACGGATGTGTTTCTAAAGTGGACTGGTAATGAAAGCATTTGTGGCCATTTACTGCACTCCCAAATGCAAGGGGTTGTTAACAGCTTAAATTTTCAATATAGCTATTTGTACCATGCTTGAGTATTAAGCTGTGGTGTTGGGATCTCCTAGGTCTCATTGATGCTGAAAGCTAGGATTTTCTAATGTTACGATTAGATTAAAATGTTTATGTTGTTTTGGCATAAACTGCTGATGAGTGATGCAAAGAAGCTTAACTGCATAAACTGCTGATGAGTGATGCAAAGAAGGTTAACTGAATGGTTATATGCCATAAGACACTGGTTGCAAAAAAAAGTGTTTTCTTTGCTTCTAGACCTTCAGCAGGGCTGAGAACATGTTGTGTGGTTTAACTGATAACACAATATAAAGAGCAACAACAGGATAGAGCTGAAAGTGAAAAGGAGAATCATCTCCAGAGTCAATGTCAGATTTTGATTGATCAACGTCACACAGGTTTTAATCCTTACCTTCTTTGGAGAAGCAGCAATAGAATGGAGTTCTGATTGTTTGGTTGTTTTTCAGTTTCCACTATACTTGCTGTTCTGATCATAAAAAGAAAGAAATGAAATGAGGAAGGTGGTGAAACTGGGCTGGATGCAGGTGGATGTGATTGGGAAGGATGAGGTTGACAGAATGGGGGGATTTTGTTTTTCTGTCAGATTAGGAATGAGGATCAAAATAAGAGGGAAAATGAAGGAGAATAAAGTAAAATAGCCTATTGTCTCAGTTTCTGCATCAGAACTGTGGCTAGAAGCCTTTAATGCTTCTCTGAACTAACAGCAGTAAAATTTCACTGCTTTTTACATAACTGAGAAAGGAGTGGATTGGGAAAAATCTTTTTATGTGGCAATCTGAGATCTTTCTCTTCTGCAATAAATTACATAAAATTATTCTCTTGATGAATTAATATTGGCTGTAAAATTTATCTACAGGCTTTCTGACACTGCTGCATTTTAAATGCTTGGTATCCATTGAATTATTATAATAGTTGGTCCCTTTTGGAAATGACTCATCGGTCCATCAGATTGAAAGTTTTAAATTAAATATTGAACCTGCTGAATTGGGCCACCCTGTCAAACTTCTACATTTAAAAGGTGTGTAGGAGGATCTGGAACTTAATTCAATTGATGATATTACAATTTTCAGTCCCCATTGTTAATTTTTAATCAGTTTGTCCTTAGAGATTACTTCTAATTGTAAGAATCTTCTAGAATGTCTTTTGTTTTTTTCCAAAGCTACTCTTGCCTCTCCATCCCATTGTCTGGTGTCAGTGACATCATGACATCACCAATTCTTCCCCTTTCCCCAGTTGGCAGGTTTTCATGCGTATTTGTGCAGGCACATCTGTGGTGGTTTCTTCTTAATACTCTGATCATTGCTTCCTATCTTGTTTTACTGCAATTTTTTAAAAGTAGCTTTAAGAAATTGTCAGTTTTATATATAAAAAAAAACAAACCTGCATGTCCTTGGCCTCATGCTATATAATCAAGCAATTTGACTTTTTCAAAGGCTGCAGTCCTTTCACCTCATTGCATTCTCCAGGAGATGTGTATAATTTAGCAGCATTGTAAAATTTTGTATTTTAAACTTAAAACTACTGGCACCAAATAGAATACTGTCAGTGTGGCATCCCAGATAAATTTCAACTTCAGTCTCTGCCTATTATTTCCTAACAGCACCAAATGCTTTGAAGTCCATTTAATATTCAGACAAACCCCCATGTTAAGATTATTTTTAGATATCTGTACTCAAGCTATTTGTATAAATATGGGAATGCCATCAGTCATCATTACAATGAGAAATATCATGGTCCCTGTGTTTGGGTGTGACTCTTGGAGAAATATTTTTGACAATATAGTAGATCCATGTTTTTATTTAAATAGGTTTATATTGCCTGTGGACTTAAAAAAACCCCACACAAACAACAAAAAAACCCCAAACCCCTCCCCCCAAAAGTGCTGAAATAGCAGCATCAGAAAGCTATGAAATATCTGTAATGTAGAAGCTGTCTTCTTTCACTGTAACCCAGACATTGCACTGGAAAGGGCAGGAAGTAATGCAAGGGAAAGGCTTTTTCTGGAAAAACTATCTCTGTTAAGAAACACCTGGGTATTGATTTCATAGTCATGAAAACTGGGAGTTTCTACAGAGGGAAACTAATCGCCAAAACTCAATATTACTACTAAGCTAGCCTGGACCTGGGGAGTAGCTCAGTTCCAGTCAGTCAGTCCTTTCCTCTGAACAAAAGAGTTCTGCACTTGTTTCAGACAGAAATCCCTGTCTTCAATGCACAGACACACACATTTTCTTAGCCCAGTACACAAGAAGTGTGGATCAGCAAGTCCCTATTGTGACAGCACCTTTATACAGTGTATTTTATTGATGTACTTACTGCTTTTGTTGGCTGTTCTTTTCATTAGAGCTCCTTTCTAGTAGGCAAGAGTGGATGTCTGGCCTGAAACCAGCACTCCTTTGTCATTGATAGTTGCAGACTTGGCTTGCCAAGTCTGAATTATGCTGTTTGTTTATTTTCCTGCCTTTCAATGCTGGATTAGACACAGTGAACAAGTTTTTTTGCATCCCAAAGGATTGCAGTTTTGGGTTTTTTCTGTCAGAGAAGGGCTGTGACCCATTCAAACTGGTTGTTTAGATTGTTTCAAAGTTTTACTGTTGCATTGATTTTTATCTCCATATGGTTCTTCTCACTCTCCAAAAGTACAATTTGTGCTGTTAGAAAGCGCCAGCTGTTAAAAGGTTTGACAAGCAGAAGTGCTCTGTCACTTTTCTGGACCTGTTGCAGAAGACTTCTGCTACTAATTTTTAGATTTTGATCCTATATACTGAGAAGGGTACCTATTCAAAAGAGAGCGCAACTCTAGTGAGTAAGAAGATGGGAAGGCAAGCCATCGTATACTGTTAAACTTGATCTGCTTTGGTTCAGTACAGCAGAAATGAGTTTCTGAACTCTTTAATGTGATCAAGGATAGGATGAATGCGGTTTGTACCATTTCAAGAGGATGCCATGGAAAAAGGCCTATGTGTGAATGGTAGTTCACAGGTGCTGAGGCTGACAGAATTGGCTAGAAAAGGGCAAATCAATGTTGGACAAGTGGAAGGCAGAATGATAAGGACCATTTCTGTGATGGTGCCAATAATCTTTTGTGCTGGTTAGAATCAGACAGGAAGGCAGTGGAGATGATGTTTAATGGGGAGTTACAGGATCACAACAGCAGCTGGAGACCAGGGTCAGCTATATGGCAGCCATTCCAGCCTCCCAGGAAGTGAAAAGTCTTTGATTTAGTTAATATCCTGTAATCTCTAGCTTTGCTGATAGAAACGGTTTCATTTCTTCTCATGCTTGCTGTATGGTTTGCCTGTTATAACTTGTTCGAAAGTAACTATTACTTTATCATTATGCAAATAAACACGTTTAATTCATGGAGCTTTTATGGCATGTCATATGTATGGATATTTTTATCAAATGTTATCTGAGATCTTCACAATACAAATAATAAAAAGTTCTGCTGATAGGGTCTGTTCCAGTGGTTTAGTAGATTTCTTGTAGTTTTATGTTTTTGCGAATGTTAAGAGATAACTTAATTAGTTAAGCAGATTTGGTATATGTGGGCTTTGGGAGTTCAAGGAATTTGTTGGATGTCCCTTACATTTCCAAGGCCTTTGGCAACCTCAGAATATTAAGACAGCATTGATGAGGTTTAAAAGTGCATTATTTCTGTCACTAGATTGAGGGGAACATATGAAAATGTTGATTACAGTATAAAGCTAGGAAATGCCGATTTTAGTAATGTGCTAAACAGTTGATACAACTCCATCACCTAATCACAGGTCTTTATACAATAATCAAAATGCCTGTTAGAAAAAAAGAGCATAGTTTAAAAGGAAGAAAAATGTATGTATGCGTTGTCAGAAAAATGGAGTATCTTGAAAAGATGCATATTCTAAAGCAGATCTGTATTTCATTTGAGTGGACAGAAGAGTCAACCGTACAGTTTTATCTGTGACTTACAATAGGGTTTACAAGCCTTTGCCTTGAGCTAACAAGTACACTACATGGATTTAAGACATGCAGACCACATGTATTTAAATAAATGTGTTTCTCTTGCTATACAGTGAAGTCTGTTCTCTCAAGTTGTAAAATCCTTTTTTTTTTTTTTTTTTTTTCATGTGTGACACAAGGGAAAATCCATTAGGAGGCAACATAAATTCGCTTTTCATAAGGCTTCTTGTAAACTGTGGTGGAGACAATAGCCTGCCCAGATTATACTGGGAACTGTTGCTAGGTAGGATTTTATAGAGATTAGCAAGTTATATTTTCCATAGTTATTTTAAGTCTAGATGTCTCTGACCCTCTTATTTTATCTACTGTCTTCATTAGAGGGGGAGTAAAGAGCATGTAAGAAGTCATATGTCTGTGAAACATTCTTTTCATAAAACGTAAACGGTATTTTCCTTGTCATTTTGCAATCTCTCTTGAATGGAGACCTTCCTGTATAGGTTGTTACCTCTGCCAGTACAGGTGGCAAATGTAGAACAAAATAAATTACACCCCCCCCCAAAAAAAAAAAAAAAAAAAAAAAAAAAAGAGAAAATTCAGTTATATTTTTGGCAATAGGTTTGTGATGAGCTTGTCAATGTAGTTATCAACTGTGAATCTTGGGGATGGGGCCATCCATCTAGATGAGCTCTGGCATAATTAACAGTTCTTGGTTGTTTCCCTTTCTGTATCCAGCAAGAGATCTAATATTGCCATTAGTGCAATCAAGGACAGTAGTAATACAGCATTTTACTTTTATCTTAGGTTGCAAATGCCATGAAGAACTCACTGCCCTTTGATGCTCCTGATGCATCGCAAGAAGGCCAGAAGGTACTGAAAGTAGAAGTTACTCCGACAGTGCCGAGGATTTCTCGGACTGCTATTACAACAGCTTCTATCCGTCGTCATCGCTGGAGGAGAGAAGGTGAGCTTTCTCTGCTAAGAGCAAATACTGTAGTGTACTGTATTCATCATCATCACTGTATTCTGGCTTCTGAGTTTGCGTGTTTGCAGAACAATTGGTTGGGTTTTTTTCATTTGTTTGTTTTTGAAAAATGATACTCCATAACAATGTATAGTATTTTACATCTTCAGAGCACTGCATGAACACGAACATTTGGGGTGTTTGTTTTGTTTTTGATTTGGTGATAAACCATGAGGTAGGTGAGAAAATGGAGAAGCTGGAAAATGTTCAGTAAGACTTCTTTTTTTTTTCTCCATGTAACACAGCATAAAATTGTAGGGGTACAGTTTGGCTTAGAATTTGAGTTCTTTAATCCACACTAAAACTCAACTGACTCCCATCATAAATAGCTCAGGGAATGAATGATATTATCCAAACCTTGATAGGGTTCCAGGTACCTAAAGCTATTGAAAGCAGTGGGAGAGGGAAAAGCTGAATATCACACTCCTACCATCATATGCCCCAATTTAGAGAGGGGCCATATCATAAAATAGCTTTGGATAGCTTAGAATTAGTCCTTATTTTTCCTTATGTCATATGGAAGTGCACTTGACTGTATGAAGAAACAAAATAAATATGTAGTAATATTTACTTTGATATGATGACATCTTCAGTGTAGGTATAGCAAAAAGCTTGCTTTGAAATCACTTTGTCACACTTACAAAGCTTTGTTGCTGCATGTATAAAACATTGATTAAAAATAGCTGCATAAATGGCTGAACGTAAAAAGTAGAATAACCTAAAAATAAACGGAGGGTAAAAGTCTGAAAACAAGGATTACAGTTTTCCTGTGGTACTCCTTTTTTTTTCTTTTTTTCTTTATTCCTTTTTTTTTTCCTTCTTCTTCTGTATCGTGTGCAGAAGGATTTGATGACCTCTGGTCTTCAGCTGAATCAGGATGTCCAGGACAACAAGTAGCTGTCTTCTGTTTTCACGACTCTGGGTCATGTTTGTCTTCACTGTAGTTGCCATTCATTTGCTAGTCTCTGGTCTACAGTATAGCCCACCTGTCCCTTTCTGTGGATGTTCTCACAATTTTTAACTAAACATGGGTAGTGTTTTGTGTTTGTTCCATGTCCACATAAATCTTCTATTTTCCCTGCCTGGGTTGGAATGCTAAGAAAGGAATAGAAAAGCACTAAAATGTTATATGTTGAATCCCAGATGGCTTTGACTTCTCAAACGAGGCTGACTCAAGCATACCTGGCTCACCGATCCAACACGGCTCCACAGACCTAGGGATCAAACGTGAGCAAGAGGGGGAGGTGCTGATGCGCAGGACCCCTGAGCATGGCTTCCCGGAGCCCACCTTGGCAGCAGCCACAACAGAGGGTAGGACAGAGATGAGGAGGCAGAAGTCAGTGAGGCAGTTGCTGGAGGAGGATCCTGGCTCCCTATCCCCAAGCAGAACTTCTTTCCATTCTAGTGTGTGTTTCCGCTATCCCAGGGTGTATTAGCTTCTCTTTGCAATACACGCATCCCCTATATACCTAACATCAGGTCAGGTACTACCTTTTGTTATCACGTGGGGCTGGCCTGGGGCTTGCATCTGTGTGGTGAAAGACTGCTTGGCATGGCAAAAAAAAAAAAAAAAAAAAAAAAAAAAAGGACAGGGGTAATAGCCAAGAGCTTTGGGATTGCTTGGAAACTTTCTATTACTGAGCATGTTTAATTGATTAATCAGAAGGAAGAAAATGCACCAGATGAACAGGAATCTAGTCCTGAAAAGCAGACAGTATCAAGTATGAATGGATTTGGCTACAACTTAGTTACGATAGTGTCTTGTTAGTCTGCAGTTTTTAAATTTCCAAGAAGAACTTTCATGTTGCTGTTAAAAGTCAAGTCTACCTAAGACAGATATACAACTGCTGATGTTTTTATTTGCCAGTCATCCTTTAATTGAAAATTCATACATGGACAACTCATTTACATGAATAAGCTGGCTGCTCCAAAGACAAGTACCAAAAAAAGTGCTTGTGTTTTCAAGAAGAAATCAGGCTGTCATGTTTCTAAAAACTGTAGAAACAATTATTGCTTGCTTTCTCAATCATGCTATCTGCACAAATGCTGTAGGACTTCGTATGTCTGCTCTGCAGCCAAGAATAACAGATAGAGTAGCTGGTAGAAATTTGTTTTGTGTAAGTTCATCATTAATTTTCTCATCCTTACTCCATAAAAGATGTGGGTTTGAATACTAAATTTGAATCCTGATTTTTCCTCAGAGATGAGAATTAATTTCTTGTAAATTTAGCTAAAGATATTTTTAAGTGTTCTCCTATCTTAAGTCTTCTATCTGAACGTTTCTTTGGTATTTCCAGCTTCTATAAGTGTATCAGTTGATCATAAATGAGATTTATTTCCATATTTGGATATGAGCTACGTAGGTTTCAGATTTGTTCTTCTGGAAACAATAATCTGGAGAATTTGGAGATTTATTGTAGTGTTATCATAGAATCCTTACCCTTAATCAGAGTTGCTATCAAACAATAATTAAGACATCGAAGATAGTTGCATAAAAATGTTCAGTGTGGGTTTATAATCTACTCCTTGGTGCATAGTGAATTTGAGCATGCTCAGTAAATGAGTCCTGTCTTCTCCTAAATTCACTTGTTCCGTTGGTCTTACTCCATTTTACTAAACTTTGCATGTGCATGACCTGAAGGATATGGAGAAACTGCAGAGAACCTTCTGGGAGAGACAGGAAGTGGGAAAGAAGTTGATAAAGATTTGCCCTTCTCATCTTAATTTGTTTTAAGACATCTATATAATCTGGCATGTTCTTGGATAAGGCATAATTCCATATGCTTTACTTCAGTAGAAGTGGGCTGAATACCCTTTACTTCTGTAACATTAGTAATGTATAATTACATGCTCGGGCAAACCGAATTCTGCCAGTTGACAGCATCTGGGAGAAGGTCAAGGAATGGAGTTTGACTTGATTGTCAGTATAGAATTGTGTGTGGATATATAGTGGTCTATTATTTTACTGATGCTGATTTCATAGAAAGCTTCAGCTAGCAAATTCCCCCTCATAAATACCATTTTGCTATCAAACAATATAATGAGAGGCTGATCATTTCTAGTGACTCTTCAACCTTCAGGTATGGGAAAGATAAACAGAATAAAAGTAACCTTAAAAAGCTGCATAAAACTCCTTCTTCAGATCAGTGTTTTGACCCAATAAGTAGAAAAAGGCAATTTCAAGAATGACTCAGTAATGCCTTACAAGGTATTCTGCTTCCGGGTGATAGCAGCTGTAGTTATGTGCGCTACTTTGGGTCAGTGGAGAATGCTGTATCTACATCTACAGGATTAATTATGTACAGGCATAAATAACAAATTCTTTGGGGACAGACTTATTCTGATAAGGAACAGTTGAAGTCCTGAATACATGCTGTAGTGCAATTGATGTGATTTCTGTCTGGTTGCACTGTCTCTTTCTCTTCTGGCCTTACAGTAGAAGAGTGCTTGGGAGGAGTAGGTTTTTAGGTTTTATTTTCTTTTTTAATTGTCTTATTGGTCTGTTGGGGGGAGGAGGAGAATAAAGAAAACTTTATTACTTCACTCTCTTTCCCCTTCCCCAACCAGAGTATGTAAGGACTCAAACATTTTTATTTTTTTTAATTGTTTCTGAGGGCAGTTTTAAGAGGAAAAATAATATGTATTGGGAAAAGAATATGTGTTTGCTGACTTAGTTCAGTCCCACTGAGAACTTCTATAAGTATATGGATCTGACTAGACAGAAGTTCTCTTGCATGTTGTTTTCTCTATCTTCTTCATTTTTGAGCACTGCTGAGCTGCTTGGTCTTCTATATAGTTGCAGCATCCAAAAGCTTGCAACCCCTCTCAGTCTTGTCTTTAAATTCTGTGGATAAAATGCCACTTTTTCAGTGTGATTCTTCTGCTTCACTGTCCCTGAACAGGAATGTCAGGTTTAGTATCCTGTTACTCAGCAATGTTATAACGTAAACTTTGAAGACAACTAATGTTCTTGTAATAATGAAAAGCTTAGCAGTATTGTCTGGAGATACCTTCTTGCAAGTTATACGCCTTTCGTTTGAATAAAAAGGGCTTGAGAGGGGACTTCAGCTGCTGCTATTGCTGCTTATAATCTAACACGCTTTCATCCAGCTTTGCATGATTATATAAAGAAACATAAATGTTGTTTTAATGAAAAAGTGCTTTTGCTTTCAGTATGTTCTAGTTATGTTATATTTTTATTAGCATCTTTGATTATGTGTGGGAAGGTTGAGGGGTGGGGGGAATGGAGATGTGGTGGACTGTGAATAAAATACATCAGCATCTAATGTAAGAAAATACACTTATATCTCAATAAGAAGATGAAGGCCTAGTTTGACCAAACAGGGTGGACAGGAAGGGGAGAAAGTATATGTATTTTAAATAAGGCTACAGGAAGTTAAAGCAAATAATGCACCCTTCATTTTAATAATAGCTCTGGAAACCTAAGAGGCTTCTTTTTCTAAGGCTAAAGGCTTTACCAAGGAAGGAAGACTGCAGTAACATGAACTATATTACTGTTCTGCTTCTGGGAGGCTAATGAGTCAAATAGAACTATACAAAACTACAGAATAATTTTGCATTGTTCTGAGAGGCCCAAGAATGGTCTGATTTGGAGATGGCTAAACATCTTTTGTAAGATGATATACTGTAATGGTAAGCAAAGTTTCCTGAAAAGAAGTAGTAAGTTTAAAACAGAATAATAAAACCTCCCTGTAAAGTTTTCTTTTTGCTTTACACTTCAGAAATGTGAAGTTGGATCAGGCTACGCAGAGGTGGCAACAACACTGAAAGCTTTGTGTCTGTTCTGCTTGCCATAATGTAAAATGTTCTTTAGTGCTCTGCTAACAATCAGCATGAAAGCATGAGCTTCCTCTCAAATGTTAGAATCTCTTAGATCCTTGCCACCACTTTTTCCCCATTCCACAAAAGAGATTTAAACATGTTTGCTTGGTGGCAAGCTCGGTTGAACAAACTGCCAGTGGAGCAGTACAATGGCTTTAGCTGGGACAGATCCATAAGCTTTGCAGATTTCTCACAAATAATCAGGCTCCACAGCTTTTTTTAAAGAAAAGCAAAATTCTTATAGCCTGAATATCTCCTTTTTGCTAACATGGTTAAACTTTATGGCTTTTTCCCATTGAAATGAGATATATGGAGCAAAAACTCAATCTCCGTTTTCAGTTTTGAAATTTGAATGCTGTTCAGTTTTCTACTGAAACAATAACTCTTCTTTTGGGTACTTGAAGCTTAGAAAAAGGACTGGAAGAAGATTAAAAAAAAAAAAAAAAATCTTTGTGTGCAGCCCTAATCATATTATAGGCCTGAAAACAAGGATTTAAAAAATAAGTTTGTCAGGCTTTTTTTTTTTTCTCTTTGAGATTCCATTCAAAAGCAAAGTGCCTCTTCTACAACATGAAGTGTTTCAGAATTTAAATTTCTTTTAATACGAGGGTTGTTTTTTTCTCTGGGAAGGCTAGATGCTGAGATAAAAGCAAGTATGGTGGAAGCACCTAGATAGGATTGGTGGAAATGCAGGGAGGATTGAGCTCTGGAGGAGAGAAAACTAGGAATTAGGTTAATCTCTAACAGAAAGTATAGTCGCATTGTTTGAAGTGCCAGCTACACGCAACAGAAGCCTTCTACCTCTGTTGGAGCATTGTGATTGCTGGCTTAGGAAGTAGCCTAATTCTGAAGCTTACCAAGCACTTTCCAGAATTTGCTGTGACTGGAAGAGATCCCAAACATGCTTAGATCTTGCCTCAAAATAGGATAAAAATAGTCTGAAAGGCTTTTTTTTTTTAACCACAGGTACAAGGAGAATGGGCACCAGTATCTGCAGACAGAACGAAAATAAATTAACAGAATAGGTCCTAATTCTTCTTGTTTATAGACAAAGTTTGGGAAATATTTTGACTGATAAAGTGATGTAGAGGAAAGGCAAATCAAGCTCAGGGAGTACTTATTGTTAAATTCTGTTAAATATGACAGGAAGATTATTGGCTGAGAATCAGAAATTTTTAAGCAAGTAGAAACCAGGTGGATTAGGAAATGAGGTTTGTTTTGACATTCTGTGCGCATCTTTGTCTTCATGTAACTTGAACGCTTACTGTGTGTTCTGATTTGTTTGGGGCTTTTTTGGTTGTTTCTTTTTTCTTAATAGATACTGAAGGTGTAAATGGAAGAGAAGAATCTGTGAACCTTAATGATGCCGATGAAGGATTTTCATCAGGAGCTTCCCTCAGCAGCCAGCCAGTTGGGACCAAACCTCTATCATCTGTATCCCAGAAGGGCAGCTTAAGGAAAACAGCAAGTGGGCGTTCTGCTAAGGATAAAGAAACCTCTTCTGCAGCAAAATCCAATGAGAGCCCTCGAGATTCAGTAGCTCGGAAGCAGTACATGCACCAATCCACTGACCTTGGTGCAGATATAATTGAGATGACACCTACTAAGAAACACCTCAGCCTGCCTGCTGGGCAGGTGGTGCCAAAAGCCAACAGTTTGAGCCTGATCAGGACCGCCAGTGCTTCCTCCAGTAAATCATTTGACTATGTGAATGGCAGTCAAGCAGGCTCCAGTGTTGGAGCTGGTACAGAGGGTGTTACCAATCTAGCAGCTGGCAACACCAATCGGTTTTCAACTATCAGCCTACAGGAGGACCGACTAGGCCAAGCTGGGGAAGGTAAAGATCTCCTTCCACCAGGAGCTCCCCTAACCAAGCAGTCTCGATCTCCAAGTTTCAATATGCAGCTGATATCCCAGGTGTAACTTTGACTCCCTTCCTTAGGACTCCCTTTTTCCCCTTAATCCCCAGGCAAGTTCATCCTTAGGCAAAACATGAACCATCATCCTGCAGTGTGAAAATACTGACTGTTGTGATCTTGTTTCATTTGGTTTAGCTCTCATACTGTATTACTAAAACAGCAATAATTCCTCCTTCATCTTCATCGTCCCCCCACCTTGTAAACATGGTTGTGAGGCAGTATATAATGTACTGTATGCCTTTTTCCATGCCTTCCTTTCTCCTTGGGTGATGTGCAATCCATCGTAGGCTGATCAGTCCCATTTCAACACTGTGAGACTGGAGACACTGGCGGAAATGGTGAATGTGATCCCTATGACATGATGCTTTGGCTTTGTTAAGAAATAGAAACGGGTTTTGTTTTCTCGGTCTACAGTACTGCAAAGACTACTGGATCATGACTTTTTTCTTTCTCAGAACCAGGAGTGCCTCAGAGATTCTAGTGTGACTTTGGACCTCTCTGAGTCTGTGCAATCAATTCTGGGGAGGGGATTGTCATTGCTGCTCCTGGCTGCCTACAGCACTTTTTTCATTAAAATGAGGGTAGTTTTTTTTCTTGCCTGCCCCCAGTCTCTCATCCCAGAAGCTTTTGATGTTCAGCAACTGAGACATGCATATTAACAAGTTGTTTTCCCTCAGAGAGAGAATTCTAAGTGGATAATGTAGGTTACAATGCACTTCTAATGGCGTTGTAGCCATATGTAATGTTACATGTCTTCCCCTCCAGGACACAGGGTCATTCTGCATATAGACTAAAATTTAGACAACACCATGCTGTTAAAGCGATTTGTTTTCTAAGTGGGAGGGAAACACTACTTTCCCAGGAACTAATGGCTAGCTCTGCTCCATTTTTGTTGTCGTTCTTGTGAGGTGCTGATCACTGAATTGAAAGGTGTATTCGGGTAAAGAGTATTTCTCAGGCTGCTTTCTATGGTATCATGGCTGTTGGACACTCCTGCCCTTCTCAGCTGCTTTCTCAGTGTCCCTGAATTCAATCATGGACTCATTTGAAGCATCCTGCAGTCCAGACAGATCATAATCTTAAGGGGCTGTCTCAGGGATGGAGACAGTAGTCTGCTAGAAACACTGAAGCTTCAATGTGAAATGCTTTTTGAAAAACACCATTTGCAGAAAGGGGTACTGACAGTCCTTCCTTCCCAGAAGGATCACACTTCATTGCCTTGGTATATATAATATGTTGAGGTTTTTTAACTCTTATTTTAGTGGGGTGGCCCTACTCTAGAAAATTCAGAACTCATGCCGTTGAGCCAAGCCTTGAATGTATATGACTGGTGTATGGGCACTGGCTGGTACTTACGCTAGAGAACGCTGCTTAGAAGCACATTTCTGGTTACACAGGAGAATGTTTGTTGTTCTTTCTCTATCTCTTTTTGGATTGCTAGAGAGAAAAGGGGAAAATCCATCCTCTATGCTTAAGTCATGTGTGATATCCTGGAAGTTTACAAATAGTAAACCCACAGGAAAGAGGTATGATCTTTATGTGGGCACTTTTGGTTTCACCATCACTGTGAAGGATAAACATAAGCAGTTATAAATAGCAGGACTATCTTTGAATGATAGTCTTTAAGAAATTCAGGACAATGACATGGTGTTGCATTGCTGGTAGATGGTTTTGTGTTTTGTGGTTTGGTGGGTTTGTTTTTTTTTTTCTTTTTAATGTCTTTATTTCAAATACATTATTTCAAATTTACAAATTATTTCAAATTTACATTAAAATTCATTTAAATATTTGAAGGTTTTTTGTGTTTTGACGAGTCATGTTGGTAGTCTAGTCTTCATATCGTACATTCATAAAGTGAATTAAATGGCATGTGGACCAATGCAGAAATTCAGTTAAAGAATAAATAGAATCATCAGAAAGAAAACCATACAGTTTCTAAATTGAAGTTAATCTTTAAGGACCACCAGTCACACACAGATGGAACTAAGGCAAAGTTGAGATTAAGCTATGAGGCATTTTCTTTAAAAATGTCAAAGGCTGTATATGGTTAAACTCTTCTTTTTTTAAATAAAGTTTTGCTAGTGGAGACAATTGGTAAGTCGTGGCTGAAAGTACAAAGTTTATATTTTGTAAAGACTATTAATAGAAATTCTGTTAAAGAGCCATCACTGTAAATTGAAAAGGACCAAATAATTCGCTTAAATCTTTGGGAAAGAAAAGGTCAGGAGTGTCAGCTAATTTTTTAAGAATTACTTTATTTTAGTATTTTAAAAAGTAGAGTTGTTCATTAGCTAGGTTCTCTACTTTCTACATTTGCCATTATAAGCATTCCTCCAGAAGTTTTAGGACACTTAAATTGGCATCAGGCCAAATTTTACAAATTTTTTTTTTACTTTTTTTTTTAACTTTTTTAAACTTTTTTTAAATTAAATATTCTTATGTGTGGGGTCCCACACTGTTAAACTATTTCAAGAAAGTGAGACAGCTCAGTGACTTCAGATAGGGAAGTCAAATGTACGTGCATAAATTCAAATAGGCTAAAACTTCAGTCAAACTACCTTTTAAGATATTTTTACAGTTCTCATTTTGATCATGTGCCTTTTGTTATTTTATCTGCTGTATTTTGGTTTGTTCTGGTGTATATATACTTACCCCATATAAGGCTTTTTAAAGAATTAAAATTTATCCCTGTAAAAAAAAAAAAAAAATTTTTTTTTTGCTATGTGCTGATGTGGTACATCTATAACTTCTCAAAATTACCCTTTTAGTGCGATGTTTCAGTTGTGGGAGCTTGTTTTGTCATTTTTCAGACAAGTACTGTTCAACATCTATCTTACAAAATGAGTCATCACTAATATCTACAAATCAGCTGTAATAACAGGCTTTGCCAGTGCTGTGTATCATGTTTATCATTAATGCTTCTAGATGTGTCTCAGACTATGCCAAGGTGCATTAAGACCATAGTGAAACTTTATACACTGAAGTTCAGTACACTTCAATGTACTGTGGCAGAAATAAAATTAGAAGTGTCTGGGATATGGGTTGAAGGAATAATCTGCTGGCTTTCTAGTTATATATGCTAAGTACTAAACAAAGTACAAAACATACTTAAATTTTCTGACACCTGTGACAAATATTTAGACTTAAATCTCTTTATCCTGAATTCATTCTGCTGTGTCTTGTTTTAGAACATTTAGTACTTGACATGAGGCACTAGCTTTAGATTTCTGCAGTATTTCAGTGCAACTGCAGCAGTATAAAAGAAGGTCAAAAAGCAGAACACTACAATTTTTCCTCGTGCACATGCATGCACGTACATTTAATTCTTAGGTGAGGAAGCATGGGTACTATATTTTGATGTATATATACATTTAAGTGGGGATAAATTAATTATTCCTTGATACAATTTTTACCACATCACAATATGCTGCCATTTTGCAACTTATTTTTGTTGAGCTTTATAATTTCAAGAAAATATAAAATGTTGGGATTGCGAACTCCAGCTCGATTATCCTTTTCAGGGGTTTATTGTGAGTAGCTTTTTGGTTGAATAATGACCCCTTTTTTTCATACTGCAGGCAGCAAAGTGATGAAGTAAAAATACCTATTAAAATGATTGTTGCAAGATGACAGTTTAAATTGCTGTATTATTCTTTTAGTTTTGATTTGGAGACTTTGTATGTCACTGTCCATTTTAAATGCAGATTTCTTTGAACACCCTTTCTGATGTGATTTGGAAAAGTTTTTTAACAGCGTACTTCATTCTGTAATGCTGAACATCATGTTGCAGCCAGTAAGCATTAGATCTAGTATTTATAGTCTGCAAGGGTGTTGGTCTTAAATACAACATTTCCAACATAATCCTGCTAGCTTTAACATAATTAGAATTATCTGTTTTAACATCAAAATAGTGAGGAAAAAAATGTTTTCTGACAAAGTATTTATTTGCACTACTTATGAATACTGGAGTTTACTGGGACAGGGTTTTTTCTCACCATGTGAGGTTTACTTGTGTGTGGGTAGGTACATACATTTGTCACGTGTTGACAATCAATTGCCTCGACTGTGTGTATACTGTATGTAAATATGAACATATTTTTCAAGATTAAGGGGGAAACCTGCATCTTAATGGTGGTAAAGCTACTCTGTAGTAAGGTGACCCCCAACTCTAACCCCTTTTTGTCTCCAGATATTATGTGGTTTGTTTTACTTCTTTAACGAAGATTATTAGTGTTCCTGGAAAATTTTAGCTCCAGGGAAATTTCCCTCAATATTTAATGTATAACATGTTCAGAGAAATATATTTTGAAAAATTAATTTTGGAATAGATAATTCTATGCTATGGCTGTATTTTAACCTAAGAGTTTAAACTTGTCCTGTTTTATCATGAACCAATGGCTATCTCTTTTAAGTGTTCAGCATTTTAACTCCGGTCACAAACCAGAAATTTTTTGTTTATCTTGGCTTACAAATTTAAATTAATTTGAAGACTAAATGAGAACCAAGAATAACTTTTTGAGTAAAATCATAAAAAATCAAGCAGTACAGACTAGGTACTGTACTTATAATCCTGGAGGAGGTGTGGAAAATATAATGAACGTGTTTGAATGAAATGTATGTACTGCAAACAAAACAAAAATATGTTTCTGGTGTTAGTAAATCTAATAATCTCATCTTTATTTTCTGCAATTCTCTTATTGCCAAAGATATTGCTACCTTGGCATGTTTAATATAGCATTAAAGCCATTAGCTAGGTCTCATTTGTAACAACCATTTACATCATAGGAATAGTTTGCATCAGAAGAGTAAACATGCCTCTTTTTTATTTATTTAAATTTCTTGTTTAGGATAATTGCAGGACTAAAGTTGCAAAATATCACTCCTTTCCAAGCACGGTAAGCAAAGAAGCCAGATCCTCTGTAATTGCATTGCATTCTTGGTTTATATCAAATTGTTCAATATTTTATATTTTCTTTAGTATTTTAAATGCTGTTTGTTTCTAGTATACGGACCTTAATCTCTTTTGATTCTCTTTTAGTTCGTTTTCCCACTGGCACTCAGATAGACTTTGCTGTGGAAAGATAAACTTTTCTGTAGGTGATTCAGGGTAATAGATCATGATGTGGGTGTTGGGTTAGTGAATACCTGTATCAGTCGGTCAAAATCTGCATGTCATGACCAGCTGAAGAGCCAAAATAATCACCTGCCTCTTACAGAGTGGTGGAAGACAGTGGAGAGCTGTGAGCAACTTGGTTTGTCAGTAGTTCTTGAAAACAATCAGTAAGTGGATTTTGCAAGACTGATATATGTATGAGGATTTCCACATAGTCATTATGAAATGTTATCTAAAATAAAACAAATATTGGAACAAGATTTCAAAACATAACAGCTAGCCATTTCAGATAAACTTGCTGAGTAAGTTTGGCAAGTGTCATGGCCTGTGTCATTAAAAGTTCAGAATCAAGTTGTAGGAGTCTAAGGGTACCTTACAGTCTCCAGAAGTGGATTTAGTAAAAATCTGTCCCATGTCATTTGTCTGTATTTGAGATTTAATGAAAAATTACACATTTTGCTTCTGTTCTTTTTTTTATTATTTTTC